AGAGTAAACCTGGGTAAAGCTGCCCTTTCCCAAACCCCAAACCCCAAACCCTAAACCCTAAACCCTAAACCCTAAACCCTAAACCCTCGAGATACCTGCTTGTCTGTCAGGGTTTCTGTGGGCTGCGCGCTGCCACCTCGACAGCAGCTCTTGGCCCTGCTGCGGGGTTGCTGCAGCGAGCTGCTGCACTTGCTGCTCGAGCTGGAGGTTTTGCTGCTGCGCGCGGGTGAGGCCCGCGCTGCTGCTGCTGCTGCTGCTGCTGCTGCTGTCCAAGTCATACGAAAACCCTAATGCTGCTGGGGTTTCGTCCTGCAGCAGCTGCTCAACCCGCTGCAGCCGCGACTGCAGCGACGCGAGATAATTCCTCGGGTGAATTGGCAGGTCTTGCGGCGCTGCAAACAGCAAACCCTAAACCCTAAACCCTAAACCCTAAACCCTAAACCCTAAACCCTAAACCCATTTAAGGAGCCCACTTAACCGTCCAGAACGCCGCGACGTTTGTCGTTTGGGATTTGGGATTTGGGATTTGGCTAAACCCTAAACCCTGAACCCTAAACCCTAAACCCTAAACCCTAAATTCCTCGGGTGAATTGGCAGGTCTTGCGGCGCTGCAAACAGCAAACCCTAAACCTTTAAGGGGCACTCGAAGTGCCTCGCTAAAACTGAGATGCAGCAGAAGGCGAACCTGCTGCCGGGGTTTGCTGCTGCTGCTGCTGCTGCTGCTGCTGCGGCTGCAGCCCTGTGGAAAGCCCAAATAAGCTCGTCATTATCCTTGTGTTCAAGAAGCTGAAGCAAACTAGAGAAGCAGCGACACTTTGCTGCTGCTGCTGCTGCTGCTGCTGCTGCAGCAACCTCCTGCTGCTGGAGCTGCTGCTGCTGGTGAAACCGCTGCTGGTGCAGCTACTTCTCCAGCTGCTGCTGCAGCTGCTGCTGCTGCAGCTGCTGCTGCAGCTGCTCGTGCTACGGGTACTTGCTGCTAGTGAAGCTGCTGCTGTTGCTGCTGCTGCTGCTGCTGCTGTTTGCTGCAGCAGAGTGCGCCGCCCCGACACGAATATAAGGTGAAGAAAAGAATTTAAAATAAATAGAAGAAATAAAAAATAAAAAACAAAAGAAAATGAAAAGAGCCCAAAGTGCCTTGGAGCCTCTGCTGCACTCCCCTGCTGCTGCCACTGCAGCAAATAACCCCCCCTTTTCTATTTGCTGCTGCTGCTGCTGCTGCTTTTGGCCTCAATTTTGAATTTAAATAACTTTTAGAACAAATTAGGGGGCACGAGGGCGGTGGGGGGCCCCCAGTACCCTTTTGGGGGCCCCCAGGGGCCCCCACAGCAGCAGCAGCTGGTGGACGCAGCAGCAGCAGACACGGCGCTGCGAGAGAGCAGCAGCACAAATTGCAGAATTAAATGGAAATATAAATTTAATTACTTTATTTTAAATATAATGTTGGATTGTACAGGCAAAGATGCAATAGGAAAGAAAGATATAGCTCACTATCGCTGCTCTGTCTCCCGTGCCGTCTCTGCTGCTGCTGCTGCTGCTGCTCTTGCTGCTGCTGCTGCGCTGCTGCCGCTGCTGCTGCTGCTGCGGAACTAGAACAACTAATGCCTCGGGAACACAGTTGCTTATTTTGAATTTAACTTTATTTTTCAAAGGAGGAAAAAAAAGAAAAAAGAATTCCGTTGTTCCCACCACCCCCTGCAGCTCGTCGAGCTGTCTGTACACCTCAGGTGACCTCCCTGCCTCTCCGGTCTTCTCTTTTTCTTTTTGTCTTTTCTTTTTTTCTTCTTTTCTTTTTTCTTTTCTTCCCCCTCAAGAGTGTGCAGACTCCCGCCTCTGCACATCAGGGTTAGCTGCAGGTAATAATTCACGCGGAGAAACCCTAAACCCTAAACCCTAAACCCTAACCCCAAACCCTAAACCCTAAACCCTAAACCCTAAACCCTAAGGCGCAGCTCCCAAACCCCCGAGTCCAGATTGGCAAGAGGGAGTTTCTTGCCGCCCTTGAGGTGTACAGACACTCCCTGTTTGTCGCCCTTCGTGGCAGCAGTTTTAAATTTCCACTTTTCAACTGTCTAGACACCAAAAGAGAAAAAGGGGAAATTTCCACTTTTCAACTGTCTAGACACCAAAAGAGAAAAAGGGGAAAAGAGCCGAATAAGCAGCAGGCGAGCTGAGGTGTACGTACACCCCAACTGCTGCACACAAATTCCTCTTATTTCGCTGTCCATGCTGTTCCTTGAGGGTTTAGGGTTTAGGGTTTAGGGTTTAGTGTTGATCTTATTATAATGTTATTTTTAAGTCAAGAAGAACTTCTTTTCCCTTTGCTTCTGCCTTATAGCCATGCTGCAGTTTGCTGCTTGCATGCCCTTTTTTAGGGTTTTGCTGCTGCTGCTGCTTCTTCCGTCGCAGCAACTCTTTGTGCTTCTTTTGCTGCTGCTGCTGCTGCTGCTGCTGCTGCTGCTGCAGGCAGAGCAGTGCAGCGCGGCTTGCGGAGTGTACATACACCACGATGAAGACGCTCCTGAACGCAGCAGCAGCTGCTGCTGCTGCTGCTGCGCTGCTGCTGCTGGCTTCCCCCGCGGCTGCTGCTGCTGCTGCAGCACCAGACTGCCCCCTCTGCCAGCTGCGTAGGCTCAATGGTGAGCTTTTTTTTTCTTTTTGTCTTTTTATTTCCATTTTAATTTTATGTATTTATTATCTTTCTTTTTGTCTTTCGGTTCAATTTTAATTTTATATTTTTATTATCTCATTCACTTTCTTTTCTTTTTAGTTCTGTTTTTCGCTTTTGCTGCTGTTCATGTCCAGTTTCTCTCTTTGGCGCTGCTGCTGCTTCTTTCGCCTTTTTGCTGCTGCCCTTTTGCTTATTGCTGCTGCTGCCTCCTTTTGTGTCTTTGCTTCTTTTTGCTTCTGCTGCTGCTGCAGGTGGTCGCCCGTATCCTGCCCATGGCGCTGCGAACGAGCAGCTGCGGCTGCTGCAGCAGCAGCAGCAGCAGCAGCAGCAGGTGCTGCAGCAGCTGCAGCACCAGGGAACCACAAACCCAAATGCTCTAAGCAGGAATTTGCAGCAGCAGCAGCAGCAGCAACCACAGCAGCAGCAGCCGCAGCAGCAAGCTGCGCCAAAGGCAATGACCCTAGCGGACTTTCAGATGATGCAAAAGGAAAAGCAGCAGCAGCGCCTGCAGCAGCAGCAGCAACAGCAGCAGCAGCAACAGCAGCAGCAGCAGCAGCAGCAGAGGCCCAAGGCCATGACTATAGCAGACTTTCACAAGATGCAGCAGGAGAGACAGGCCCAGAAGCAACAGCAGCAGCAACAGCAGCAGCAGCAGCAGCAGCAGCAACAGCCAGAACGACCGCTTAAAACGATGACCCTTCAGGAGTTCCAAAAGCAGCAAAGGCTAAGAGGACCACACAGTCAGCAGCAGCAGCAGCAGCAGCAGCAGCAGCATCAGCACCACCATCTGCCCATGCCGCCTCATCAGTTTGCACCGCAGCAGCAGCAGTATCCGCAGCAGCAGCAGCAGCAGCAGCAGCCACCGATGCTGCAGCAGCAGTACCCGCAGTATCAGAACAACTATCCGCAGCAGCACCTGCCGCAGCAGCAATTCCCTCAGCACCTGCCGCAGCAGCAATTCCCTCAGCACCCGCAGCAGCAGCAGCAATATCAGCCTTATCCCTACCAGCAGCAGCAGTATCAACCTTATCCGCAGCAGCAGCAGCAGCACCCGCAGAACCCGCTGCAGCAGCAGCAGTACCAGCCATATCCCCAGCAGCAGCAGCAGCAGCAGCAGCAGCAGCAGCGTCCGCAGCTCCCACACCACCAGCCGAACTACCTCCAGGGCCCACAGCAGCAGCAGCAGCAGCAGAACTACCCGCAGGGCCCACAGCAGCAGCAGCAGCAGCCGAACTACCCGCAGGGCCCACAGCAGCAGCAGCAGCACAACTACCCGCAGGGCCCACAGCAGCAGCAGCAGCACTACCAGGGACAGCAGCAGCAGCCTGCTTTCCCGATTCCGCAGCAGCAGCATCCCCAGCAGCAGTTCCCCCAGCAGTGGCGTCCGCAGCCGCAGCCAGAGCAACAGCAGCAGCAGCAGCAGCCCCCGCAGCAGCAGCAGCAGCCGCAGCAGCAGCCGCCGGAAAAGCAGGAGGAATTGCTCCCGCTGCTGAACCTGCCCTCTTGGCTGCCCAGCTGGCTGCACCCCTCCAGCAGCAGCAGCAGCAGCAGCAGCAGCGGCAGCGGCAGCGGCAGCGGCAGCAGCAGCAGCGGCCGCGGGCCTCTAGCGAATATCTTCGGCAACCTTCCAACCCCTGCTTGGCTGCCACTGCCCAGGAGCTCAGATGCAGCAGCAGAAGCAGCAGCAGCAGCAGCAGCAACAGAAGCAGCAGCAGCAGAAGCAGAAGCAGCAGAGGAAGATGACGCAACCGTGACGCTGCGACAGGCAGAAGCAGCAGAGCCGCAGCAGCAGCAAGAGGAGCAGCAGCAGCAAGAGGCGCTGCAGCAGCAACTTGAAGCACACCACTACAGGGACTTGCTGCAGCAAAAGCCCAGCCCCATTACAGGCATTAGCGACCTCATTGAATCTATTCCGCAGCAGCAGCAGCTAGAGCAGCAGCTGGAGCAGCAGCAGCAGGAGGCGCCGCAGCAGCCAGAGCAGCAGCAACAGGAGCAAGAGGAGCAGCAACAGCAGCAGCAGCCCGAGCAGCAAGACGAGGCCGCGCAGCAACCGGAGGAGCAGCAGCAGCAGCAGCAGCAAGCCAGCGCAGCTGCTGCTGCTGCAGCGGATACAGCCGCAGCGGAGGCACCTGCAGAGGAGCCCGCTGCAGCAGAGACAGCAGCAGAGCCTTCTGCAGCAGACGCAGCTGCAGCAGAGCCTGCTGCAGCAGAGGCAGCTGCAGCAGAGCCTTCTGCAGCTCAGGCAGCTGCAGCAGAGCCTGCTGCAGCAGAGGCAGCTGCAGCAGAGGCAGCTGCAGCAGAGCCTTCTGCAGCTCAGGCAGCTGCAGCAGAGGCAGCTGCAGCAGAGGCTGCTGCAGCAGCGCCCGCTCCGGCAGAACCAGCTGCAGCAGAGGCTGCTGCAGCGGAGGCTGCTGCGCAGTAAGTGCAGCAGCAGCAGATGCTGCTGCGCAGTAAGTGCAGCAGCAGCAGATGCTGCTGCGCAGTTAAGTGCAGCAGCAGCAGATGCTGCTGCGCAGTAAGTGCAGCAGCAGCAGATGCTGCTGCGCAGTAAGTGCAGCAGCAGCAGATGCTGCTGCGCAGTAGTGCAGCAGCAGCAGCAGCTCAGAGGGCCCGTGGGCGCCCCTGTGCAACAGCGGCGCGGCGCTGGGCCGTTGCTCTCTGCTGCTGCAGCAGCAGCAGCAGCAGCAGCTGCTGCTGCAGCAGCAGCGTGAGCCCGTGTGGAAACAGCCGCACTGTTTGCTCCAAACTCTGATTACTAAATTCTCTAGACAGCTTTGCAGTGCAGCTAGCTAGCTAGCTAGCTAGCAAGTAGGCCAGTAGTACCCCTAAACTCACTCATTAGCTGCTGCTGCTGCTGCTGCTGCTGCTGCTGCTTCTGCTTCTAGCGCTGGCAGCACGCTCGCTACGTAGAAAGACACGCCTTAACTAGCTCGTGGGCCGCTTTGTGTGTGAAAAGACACAGCGAAAACGCCACTGCAGCCTTGCTGCTGCTGCTGCTGCAGCCTGCAGCAGCAAACGACCCTCTCATTTGCTGCAGCACGAGGTGCTGCTGCTGCTGCAGAGCAACAGCGCAGCGCCTCCGCAGCAACCCTCGCCCTGGGGCCCCCTGCGCCCCCCTCTTAGCGCTGCCGCAGCACACACGGGATCCTGCTGCAGCAGGAAGCAGCAGCAGCAGCAGCAGCAGCAGCAGCGCGGGACAACGACGGTGTCTGCGGGGTGTCTTCTGGCGGGCATGCGCAGCTGCTGCTGCAGCAGCAGCAGCAGCAGTTGCTGCTGCAGCAGGAGGAGGAAAGGGTGGCTTCTAGAGAAGCCTAAGGGGAAGAAGAGGGCGGCGCGCGGGTGTCTGTACACCGTGTGCGCGCGGCGGGCCTCAGTAAATCTCGCGGAGTGGCAAAAGGGGGCGAAAAAGCGGCCTTTGGGTCTCGAAAAGGACTTTAATTCTCCGAAAAGGAGTTTATGTTGTGGAAAATCGGCACAAAGTCCCAAAAAGCGGCTTCAGGGCCTCAAAACGCGCCGCAAACTGCGGCGCGTGCGCAGGTCACGGAGCCCGTTGCTGGGGGCCCCCGGGGGCCCCCCTGCAGCTCACTGGGACATTTTTTTGCTTTTGCTTTTCTTGGGAAGCAGCACGGAGTGGACGTTGGGCATAACTCCCCCGGAAGCTATGGTGACCCCGCCCAGGAACTTGCTGAGCTCCTCGTCGTTCCGCACCGCCAGCTGGATGTGCCGCGGGATTATTCGAGTTTTTTTGTGATCTCTCGCGGCATTTCCCGCAAGTTCGAGGATTTCTGCACACAAATATTCCAAAACTGCAGCCATATAGACGGGGGCCCCCGCGCCGACGCGTTTGGCGTAGCGGCCCTTCTTGAGGTAGCGGCCGATGCGGCCCACGGGGAACTGCAGGCCGGCCTTGGCGCTTTTGCTGGTGCTTTTGCCGCTTTTTTTGGCGCGTCCGCCTTTTCCCTTGGCCGACATTTTCGAAAGTGCTTTTATTTCTTATTTGCGTCGAAAACAGAAAAGAATTTTCTGCGAAAACGCCGCTTCCGCGGCTGCTGCTGCTGCAGCAGCGGCGCGCGGCGACGCGGCAGGGGGGCCGCTCGTCGCCGCGGCGGCGAGCTGCTGCTGCGGCGGCTAGCTGCAGCAGCAGCAGCAGCAGCAGCAGCGCAGCAGCAGCAGCTTACAACTTCGCACCGCGTCGCACCGTTCGCACGGGTGCGCGCAGCAGCAGCAGCAGCAGCCGCAGCAGCGCGCGCTGCGCGCCCCCCCCGCTGCTGCGCGCGTCGCTGCGCGCCCCTCTTGCCCCGCAGCAGCAGCAGCAGCAGCAGCCCTCCTCCCCCCCATCCCCTCAGTTGGAAAACATCTCTCCAAGCCGACCCTTCTCTCTCCCCGCAGCAGCAGCAGCAGCAGCAGCAGCAGCAGCAAATGGCGCGGACGAAGCAAACCGCCCGCAAGTCCACGGGGGGCAAAGCCCCCCGCAAACAACTCGCCTCCAAGGCCGCCCGCAAGTCCGCCCCCGTGGCCGGAGGCATCAAAAAGCCCCACAGGTACCGCCCCGGCACTGTGGCTCTCAGAGAAATTCGAAGATATCAAAAGTCCACAGATCTGTTAATTCGAAAACTGCCTTTTCAGCGGCTGGTGCGGGAGATCGCGCAGGACTTCAAGACG